CTACAGAAACGAAGGGAAGCATTAATCAAAATCAACAGCACGGAGAGGGCAATAAGCTAATGGTGAATCCTCACCTAGTGTGTCTTTGTCGTTGAAATGAAAATCAACGTAAAAAAGGGACTAATTTCGAAAGCCGTAAAAGACTGAAAATGGTTCTGGAATCCAAAACAATGCTAGTATCACTAATCATCTCCAACAGCTACCTTTTCAACTTTGATACACCTTTACGCCTTTGACGTATTTGGAAAATATTTCATAATCGCTTCTTTCAAAGTTGCATTAGCCGGCGGTTATCATGATTCTAAATTAATCTTGAAAAAATATTGATAGTGGAACCTTTAAAACCAGCTTTCCAAAGCAGTGTACGTTGAGCATTATTCCCGTTGAATTTTTGAGCAAGAATATGCGAGTCAAGAAGACAATCAACAAGTCGCAGAAGATGATCAACACCTGAAGAACAGGAATATTCGAGCACAAACCCAAAACACCGGGAAAGATTTCAACAGAAAAATAAAATCTAAAAGGAAGTGAAGAAACAAAAAGGCAGAAAATCATAAGACAATACAAAATACTGAAAATTCAAAAAACAATATTTATTACTTATCCTCAAGCTCAGACCTTTTGTTCGGAGAAAAATTCGTCTCTCGAGCAAAACTACATTCCCTCATCCTCCAGAAAACGGAGCCCAATTCTCGAGACATATAATTTTCTCCAGCAAGCTGAATGCTCACTTTTATCCGTATTTTTCGAATAGTAAGTTTTAAAACGCACCAATGCACTTGTAGAGGCCACCGCCATCATCAATATCAAACGATTTGTCTTCAGCAACAGCCCCATTAATCTGCCTCACATCTCCGTTTGCAACAACTTGATCCGATAGCTTATCAGCTTTATTAGCAGCACTTCTTGCTTCTTCCTTAAAAAACCCACTACCCATACGCTTCGAAAAAAAAAAAAAAATGTAAGGGTCTGGTCTGAATGAGAATGCCTCGAATTAAAAAGGCATACCTTTTTCAATGACTCCGGGCCGAAC